TCCAAGCTATCACTGATTTATTGTAGCAATTTAAGCAGGTCTCATCTCAGAAATTAAAGCTTATTGTACCTTAGTGGTTATTTTTCAAACAGATTTAAACATCTATCTGATGTACATAAATTTATGTATCAGCATTGTCTTTCACTGAGGTGTTTATTCTGGACCATGATGTGGAGAGTCAAATGCAATGAAGCACTTGAAGTCATAATATTTGAGACTGAGAACTTGAAAATTACGCAGTGCAGTCATTTCCAAATGTAGATTTTTAGGCCAGTGTTAGCTAGTGGAGAAGTTTTTACTAGTCCACTCTGAAGCGTGGCAAAAGGAACAGTAGGCATGGATTCTCATTTTATTGCCTAGCCATTTTCAGTGTAAAGATATACCACTCTCACTTTGGAGAGGTAAGGATTTACTTTATTTTATAAAATGATGGTGATGGTAAATGTAGGAGTATTTTTAACACTAACACCTGGCAACAAAATAGCTCTGTGTCATTACCCTTATCCTTACAAACCAAACTAGTCTTTGATGTGTTGAAATTTGAATCCAGCTTTCTAATTTTACAGATGAGAAACGACAGGCTCACTTGTTTCAGACTTGACAGCTCAGGAGCTCTGAGGTTGCCTCTAGTATTTCTGGTATTTTGAGAATCGGTCTTGTTGTACTAAGTTATGAACTTGAAACAGAAGATGGAGTAGTTCTTCTATGCTAATAACTGATTTTTCAAGCATGAAGAAATTCAAAAGACCTAATATTTTTACATCCCTAAATTGATGGCTCCTTGTTGGTTTACATTAGAAGAATCTTAAACATGGACACAGAGGAGGCCAGAGTTAGCTACCTGTGCATTCATCTTCCTCGGGTTCTGTGCTACAATGGGATTGACAAAGTAGGTAATGTATCAGTAAGCTTAGCATTTCCCTTGGAAAAGAGACTGCTGCCATTGAGGATGGGGATGGGGTTGGGGGTAATAAATGAAACTTCTTTGGTTATCTATCCAAAGTTTGCTACCTTTTTTCTCATGCTTGGACACCTACCTCCACACACAGGTACACATTTATAGCAACTGACCCACAACCATTGATCTTGGCCAATCCAAATGTAGCTGATCTAGGCTTGGGCAGAAAAAAATACTCTGAAGGTTAAGAGTAAGGATTATTAGTGAGTTGGCAGAACACCTGGCCAGTTATGTTCAGTTTTCAGACAGTGCCCTATGGCACTTTGGAGGCTCTCCATTTACTGTCACAATTTTGCTCCAGCTATCTCAGAATAGGTTTCAAAATAAAAATAATTTCTTTGTTGCCCTTTGCCTCATTTACCTTGGTGAAACATGGGCCAGGTAAGCAATGCAAGTGTAAGAAGAAAGAAGAAAATGGAATATATTCCTGACCTTAACATGGAAATGCTAACTTTAAGAGCTCTTTTCCATGATTTTTTTTTGTATTTGACTTTGTGTGATTTCTTTTTTCAGCCAAGAATTCGTTATTATTATTATTATTTTTGCAATGTCCAATTGAATTGTTAAAGTAAAAGTGCCGTTGGGATATTATTTCATGTGCCCGTTTCTCCTTTACTGTCATTGACTGCCCATGAGATTGATTTCAGTCTTCAACAAATATATCAGCTTGAGTTCTTTTTTCTCTCTCTCCCTTCCTTCCTTCCTTCCCTCCCTCCTTTCTTCCTTCCTTCCATCCCTCCCTCCCTCTCTCCCTTCTTTCTTTCTTCCTTCCTTTCTTTCTTTCCTCTCTCCCTTCCTTCTTTCTTTCTTTCTCTCTTTCTTTCTTTCTTCCTTCCTTCCTTCCTTCCTTCCTTCCTTCCTTCCTTCCTTCCTTCCT